CCCCTGTGCCCCCCCCCCCCCCCCGACAGAACCAGCCGCATCCCTGGATGGTTCGCCTTTTTTCTTTTCCTTCAGAAATGCCGATCGACAACAGGGAAGAGCCGTGTACGGCTTTTGCACCCAACGTTATTCCCCCGAGGGTGGGAGCAGTTGGGGCGGAAAGGGAAACTTGTCACCCTTCATTTCGGGCCCACCTGTAAAATAAAAACCGGCTCATCACCACCACTACGAAACAGGAGGGCTGGGGGACAGAACGCAGACTGTGGGGTCTCCGGGCCTCAGAATCCATTTTCACACCCAGGAGATAAAACCAGGACTAACGTTAGAAAGCCTAAAATTATTTTTCTAAGAGGAGCCTGGGGACAGCCCGAAAACTAAAACAAGACCCCTCCTCCTCCTCCTCCTCCTCCGCTTCTGCTTCATCCCTGGAGCTTTGCCCCTCCGACCCTCCTCCTCCTCCTCCTCCTCGCGCTCCCCTGCCCCTTGAGCCCTTGTCTGGAAAGTGAAATTGCAGCAGGGGCACTTTCTTGCATTTGACTAACCTTTTGTCAGGTTCTGGATTCTAAGTTTTAGGTTCAGTTTTTGGGGTTTTATCCCCCCCTCCCCCCCTTTTTTGTTACTGGCCCAAGGTCACCCAACTGGCTGCATGTGGAGGAACCGGGAACCAAACCCGGTTCCTCCCAGATTAGAGTCCGCTGCTCTTAACCACCACACCAAACTGGCTCTCAAGACTAGCAAGATTTTTTTTGGAATATATGAGCTTGGAAGAAGAAGGCCCTTCCTCCTGGCTCTGGGATTCAGGGGCTGACTGCCTCAAAACATGGAGGCTCCCTTCAGTCACCAAGGCTCAAAGCCACTGATAGATCTCTCCGCCATGAATCTGTCTAATCCCCTTTTTAAGCCATCTATGCCTGTGGCCATCGCTACATCCTCTGGCAGCCAATTCCACATTTTAATCACTCCCTGCGTAAAGTAGTATTTCCTTTGGTCCGTCCTGAACCTACTGCCCACCAGCTTCGCCGGATGCCCTCGAACCCCAGTACTTGGGGGAGAAAGAGAAAAAGTTCTCTTTCTCAACTCTCTCTCTCTCCCCCCTGTGCATAATTTCAGAAACCTATCGTTGCCCCCGCTCCGTAGGCGTCTTTCGTCCTAAACTGAGACGGCATACGGAGCAGAGGTCCATCAGTGGCTATTAGCCACAAGGTATAGATAGGAACTCTCAGGCTGGGGCGAGTGATGCTCTGTATTCCTGGTGCTTGC